CACACGCAACGCAATGGTCGGTCCACAGCCCACTGTGGTGATGGAGTCACTCTTTCAGTCTAGTACTAACTGATTGCTGTCACCTACAAACGATGTCAGCATCAGAACGGTGGATTTCTCGTCGGCAATGGAATTGTACGCAGTTAAAGTGTGCTTATTTCAATCAGGGGTGAGTATCACCTAAGCAACGCCATTATCCGTGACAGTATAGCTGCTTTGTTATCATAGTATCAGATTTAAGAGCAGGGGATGGATGTGGGTTCACATACGGACAGTGAAATAACATTTGCTTCACAGTGGCGGAGTCTAATGTAATCATGCTGGTCTGCCTTTGCTCAGCTGTGCCGCAATTGTTCCATTTATCTTATTCTAACTACCGTATATTACCGAATATAAGCCTGTCCATAGATAAGCCGACAGCATAAGTTTGCAACATCAAATGTCCAAAGTCCCTGTAGTAGCCGACCGCCAAAAAATCAGCAAAAGAGAAACGAAATTGTTTCTCCACGCTTTTGACGTCATCACTACCTACTTTCACTTGAGTGAGTTCAAGTCATTTTGTGGTGACTGTAATATGTTCTAATCGCGGTTAATGGGGCGTAGGGCCATCAGAAGAGACTTTCACCGCACCGAACAGTGTAGTGACCAGACGTCAAGTGACATGAAACAAGTAAGACAGCCGACAATGTACGGTAAGTTGAGACGCGATGCGTCATGGTCGGGCTTCATGCATATGAACAGTGGGTGAGAGCGAAGTTCACGATCAGGGGTGTGGGACGACGTTGTACTTTTAAGGTATCGGATCGCCTGGCATAACATAATGTTTAAGGGCCTTTGATTCGCTACTGCCATCCGTCGCGAACATTATATGTGCATTATAGCGAGAAGTTTCGATACAAAAGTAATGTACCCAGTTATGGACACATCAACTCCCCACCTGGAATACCATCTGTCACTAGCGGGTGGTGCTAAGAGGAGATAAAGGCTGTGAATTCCTGGGTGGATTTTGCATGTGAATTTTTTCAAATTCCGTATGGGCTTTTTAAAAGCCGACCCCCCGCTACAGAAAGGATAAATGGTCCAAAATGCATCGGCTTATATTCAGCAATATACGGTACTTCGTGAGTGCCCTGAAGGCGCCTACGGCCGGTGCACACTTGAACGGCTTACCATGACAGATACACTGGCGGAAGTAACTTGTAACTGTTCGGGAGACTCTTAAACACACGTTCTTCTAGGCGGACAAAGGGACGTGGTTAGAATTCTGAAAGGAGCGGATTGGTGTCGTGTCTGACCGATGTCGCCCAAATAGCTACCGGACACGTAGCGTTCAGCAGTTAAGTCCAATCGATACATGAACCATGTGTTTGCGAGTGGTTTTTCCCGATTCGCAGCATCAAAGTGACCGTAGTCTTCACTCAGAAATTGTGACCATATGGTCAGTGACCTCTGGATGTCGTACAAAGAAGTAACTGTGTTCTCCACTTGACTGTCTCGGAAACCCAGGATTTTCAGTGGGCTCCTTTCAACTGCACTCTCCATACAGATAATCGGAATAAGACGTATTTTCAGCTCCGAGCTTAGAAATAAAAAGCCTATCCATCTCAAATTTTTCTTATCATTAGGTTTTGCTGCATAGCCCTTTTGAAGGGTTATGCTTACAACGGGATGGAAGCGAAGCGTACCGTACAGCATTTTGTCCTAGTTAAACCGGGCAGACATGGGACGGTGTCAGATTAGACAAAGCGTTTTGCGAAATTCGCGCATACACGAATCCTGGACGATAAGTAGGGCTGGCTCCATCGATATTCGACACCAGTATGATAAAGGTTAAAAGCACCACCCATATCTTTCTTCCGTAAAACAGTATCTGAGCACAACACAACCACATGTTGAAACAGCGTGACTTAGTGATATCATGCTTCAGACAGACGAGGAGGAAATCCTTTTATCCATGGAGGAATGAGCGTCTGATAAACAGTTTAGAGAATGTAGCATCGTGAATTCAAGTGGGTCCCCATTAACTTGATCTCTTTGGATTCTATGTAAAATTCACCCGCCAACTTATCGAGGGTGTTTATTGTCTCAAACGCAATCAATGTAAAGACTTGCTCTTCCATAGGTTAGCAGCGATTGAACTGGACTTCTAGGTATTACCAATCACTACCGGACTTAAGAATGTCCGGTCAAGCGGAGCAAGATGTATTGTGAATCCGAGTTTCAAACTAGGTGTATGAGTTTATATCGTGCGCTAAATTGTGAACTACATCTCGGCTAATCGACGAGTACAGACAGTTGATAAGAATGAGACGATCGTCAAGTGCTTTGCTGTTGTCTAATAAGTGCAACCGGAAAGAATTGCACGCTATCGCGCACGCAGATTAGTCGGGATGCAGTAACAGATTTGAAGATACAAAAACGTTTACGGAGTACACTGGGCTAAGAGAGGAAGGAGAAAGTTGATAAATACGTCAGTTCGTCAACCGAAACATCTGCGGCATTACACTGCTAACAGTTTGGAAGATACGCACTACGCGCAACATCCAAGATCATTGTCTGGATAAAGTTCCCCTCAGCTTTCACTACAGTCGATTCTGCAACGAAAATAACCGCCAACTCTTAACAGCGACCTATCTGCGATGCGATGAGACACTATTTCTTCTGAGCCGGCCTCATGGCATATCCTGACTAATAGACGCCGGCCACACTAGTCGGCAAAGACATCGGAGTCCAAGGAATACGGCATCGAATCACATCTTTTTACTGTATGTTGTAACTATAGTGGGTCATATGTCACGGGCGTATCCAAGGTGCTGACCATCATTATTTCGTAATAGTACAGGGAGTTGAATAGTATAGGTAGGGATTAATCACAACTAGATTCAGACAGCCATCACACGCCCGGAAAAGTATTGCGGGGCTCGAATCCACAACTCGACCGTTACCAGTCCGTGGTTGAGATCACTGAACTACGGGTGACCGTAACGACATTCGTGACTAGGTTATTAGACGTGATATAGCGCAGCTCACTAGCCACCTACACTATTCAACCGCCTTACTACTCCCGTGTAGCCTGTACGCGAACCAAACAGCTTATAATATCATAAGTTAATTGGTGGCCTAAATTTGGCAAGTTCGTCGCTTGGTGGGATGGCTAACCTGTCCTCCGCACGGTAGTGACGTGCAAGTCAGTGGATAGTGAGCGGCACTATATCACCTCTTGTAACTTAGTCACGACGGTTGTTGCCGGCCTCCGTAGCTCAGTGATCTCAACCACATACTGGCAACACTAGAGTTGAGGCTTCAGGCCCTACAAAGAGGAATGCGCACTGCTGAGGATTCCCGAAAGGAGGAAACAGCCGTACAGTACTTTCCTGGGCGTGTGATGGCTGCCTTACTGAGTCTAGATGTGATGAATTTCGGCCTACACTATTTTTATTTCCTCCAAACTATATTTTTACACTTAATCACTAGTAACCTGCTTCTATTTCTCTAGGTTTGCTTATTTCATCTGTCGAATTAGTGATAGCGCTGGCCGGAAATTGTATAGGAGACTGAGTATCTCAGCGGCGTATTCTCAGTTTTCTGGTGTAAGAATTTTGCTCCGGATGCGCTAATATTCAAGGGCCATATGCAAGATAGACCGATACTTGACTCTATACCATTTCACCTACCGTTAGTTTGCCTCTTAATTCGCTCCTATACTGTACTGACAGTATGTTCCTTGATGACTACTTGTGACAGTAGTCCTGAATTACTCTCTGCCTCAGCCCAGTCGGAATGGGTGACGAATACAAGGGCTTAATGCGCTTCAGTGCAGTTCTGTATGCTCAGTCAGTCAGTTTACCCCACATGTGCCGCCTACCACATAGCACAGGTACCTTCGTAACAGTAGTTGCCTAATCGTCATGTGATTCTACATAAAAACCGTAGGTCGGCTCTGCTTTAGTCGAGGTCATTAAAGAGCTCGGTGCGATGATGCAGTACTCAGTTGTTAAACCACGTCATTTTTGGCACAACACATAAGGTATGTAAAAAAAACTTTATAAAGAAAAGTGCAAGGATTTTCATTGACGGATTCTAGACCTTTCATAGTGTGAAACCAATAGCTATCGTTTTTGTGTGTTCCATGATTCTAACATTGTCCCCCCCCCACGAGTCACCAGTAGTAGTAGGACTAAATTTCGCTGCCGCCCGACCGCTGCCAGTCGCGCAATGGCTCGGTATGCCGTTAGGTCGCCCGCACCTACGCGGATTCGAACCACGGTGACCTCCAGACTACGAGGCGAGCACGTAATCCTTTTGGCCACCGGCCGACACTGCCCTCCACGAGTAGTTCCGCGTTTGTTTACGATCACCACGTGTCAGTTTCACGTGTGGTCCCACTGACTGAACGGGCCGGTGTCCGTTTCGAAGTAAAACGCCGTCCGCATTGAGATTGCTTCACACAATTAATTCACAAAACGGGTGCTTTCAACGAACAAACCATGTTATAACATTTTTTTCATTTGCTTATCATTAATGGTCATTTTCGATGAGCAGTGTGCACCAAATTGTATGGAACGATGAAGAATACTGGGCATAATTGGGCGGCAAACGATGTGACCACGAATGGAGCATGCGATGTGTTGTACCCAACAGTCGGCAAAAAGTTCAGTAAATTCAAATAAGTGACGCATTGTAGGACAAATAACAAGTCTGATCGGAGAGCGGAAGGAGTGCAGTTTGCTCGAGAATATGACTGGTCACTTTGGCGGGTACTTAACTTTTATTCTTGTTATATGACTCTTACCTCTTATCGCTGTACTTACAGGTGATCTGGGCAAAATTGTGAAAGATGTGCGAAGGCACCTTTTCACCAAAACTATCAACTCTACTATGTCAAACCAATTGGCACAAAACGGAACTATTAGATTTCATCATGTCGATGTGCATCATCAATAGGATTTCGTTCTCGAAAGACAACTGGTGGTCAAAGGTAGACAAACTTGTTGGCTCACCTGATTCGCGAGCACGCCAATCGAAGTCGCTGTGCTAACCTCCTTTTCCCCAAACCAAGTGGAGGCTAACTGGGCGGGAACTCCGAGTATAAACACCTGGGCGATGGCTTCTAATGTTTGAGCGAGCATGAGAATCGGGAATGCTGAGGCATCACGGAGTGTCAATCGGCCGGATGTGTTCGGATTCACTGCAAACGCTCCAGAAAGGCACTTAAGCCATGCACCGACTGCGATTATAATCACAGCCAGTGAGATGGACAGTCGCAAACCGAAACGGTTCAGCAGCCACATGGCCGGAACGATAAGCGGAAGATAGGTCAACAGATAGATCAGCGAGAGCCAATCCACACTGAGTTGACGGTCGGATGGTGTGGCACCTAATATGGAAGGTAAATCATCGGCAGTATCATTAGCGGAATCTTTTGTGGGAAAAGGATAAGAGTCTATCTTCACGTTAATGAGATTGATGCGGTAATACGTGAGAGAATAAGCTAGGAAAACAGCCAAGACGGTAAGATCGGGGTGGTGCTTATGCTTAGGGTTTCATTAGTGCAACCGTGTATGTTTGGATAAAAAGCAGCTGCTTTACAAGACACATAGGGTAAGAAATACCTAAATGTTACTGTAAGTATTAGTACCTTGTCGGTCAAACCAGCAAAGCAGACGGTCCACAAGGTGTCAGGAGATTCGCTGTAACTGGACGGATGAATCACCTATGAATTCGAATTCTGGGATAGAAGCTATTCGATGGAACTATATACTGAGCAATCAGTCACCGGCTCCCAATGGGCGCGATTCCCTGAATTCGCTCCGCTGCCTTGCGGGCAGGCTATTCAGCCAAAGGCTCGGGGTGGTGTCCCCTAAGTCAACACCCTACTTCGGCTTGGGCAACCGGGTAGTATCTCGCCCTCTGAGGAAACCATGGACATTGTTGTGTTGTGTTTTATTTTACCGTTTATGTACCTTCGTTTGAATCCCATGGTTTCTGATGGCATTATGTCTGTTAGCAGACTTTTGCAAATATATATATATATATATATATATATATATATATATGTATATATACCTAGCTTCCTGTACCCATACTAATCTCTACAGGATAGGACTAAGAAGTCAGATTTGCTCAAGAAGCGATCGAGCCATTTGTGTTCGGAAATGATTGTTATGGTCGCAATATTAGCCGTACATATCCCAAATTCTCGTGCGTTTGAAAAGTGCCGTACGAACAGGAATTCAGTCTTGGTCGAAGCCCGACTCATCATGGTGGAAAGTACACGTACAATAGTTCATTTAAATAAGTAAATAAATTATATATTCGTCAACGATGTGAGCTGTTCCCTAAAAGGAACAGATCAAATAATGGTACAACTTTTTCATGACATTTCATTAATACATTTTCAGAGATAAACATGGGCGCAATTGCACATTAGATCACACAGAGTAATCAGAATCGTTCTGCTATTTTCTACTGCCATTGAATCAGGATTCTTTACAACCACATGGCAGATATTTGGGCCGAGACAAAAATGTAATGAAAGGGGATGTTGTCCGAAATGTTAGATGTATGTGTTTCGGAAATTTATTCAGGCACCATGAATACCGTTTTCCAATGCGTTATCTAGGGACTGTGATGTCCCGAACCACTTATACGTTTTGAACGGGTAAATGCTTACTAATCGCAAGCTTAAAATTGCAAAATGTATAGCATGTTCTGATATCACTTGAAGTTTGTTCCAAATCTTTAAGTATTGGGTTAAAAAGAAACGTTCTCTGGTTCTCATAGTACATTTTGGAATCATGACCTCTACCTCTTTGTTACGTATTGGATATCTGCTGTTTAAAGATATGTGAACACCGTTTTCAAGACTGCGAATATGACAATTTATGATTCTGTAAAGAAAACATACGTTCAGCTTCATTATCCGAAGCCAAACTTGGTCAAATCCAAGTTTAGCACATCGCTCCCTGTATGTCAAGTTTGAGGAACATCCACACAGCTTTTTTGTGAAGCGTCTCTGGACCATGTGAAGAGCGTGCTGGTCAGATTTTCGCAGAATAGACTGTACCATTCAGCAATACTCCATACACGGCAATTCATATGTTTTTAAGGTGATATGCGAGACTCCGTAAGGCAAAAATGGTGGCAGATATAACTGATGGTCTTCATGGCTTCGAAACATGGAAGTCACAGTGTTCAGAAAAGTTAAACGTGACTGAATATCGCACCCCCCAAGTCGTGAATTGTCCTGCATTGCGAGATAAATGCGCCTTGTAGTAATAAACTGTCTGGCGGTACTTGGCATTTGTACGACAAAATATTACATTTGTCCACGACAAATGAAATCTGCCACAGTTGGCACCAGGAATCAACGGCAGATAGGTCATCCTGAACGAGACTTACGGCTTCCTGAGTATTTGCACTTGGTTGTGAGTAGACAACTTTAATGTTATCAGCAAAGATAAATACAACGCCATTTCTTATTCTCTGGAAAATATCGTTAATATAAATTAGAAAAATAAGAGGACCAAGAACACTCCCTTGAACCACTCCACTAGTGATTGCTTTCGATTTGGAGAAATGGTCGCTTTTGCGCACAATCTGCTGTCTACCAATTAGATATGAAGACAGCCAAGAGAACATCGGTTCTCCAATGCCTATAGCCTTTAGTTTGTTTAGTAACCTGTGAGGCATTCAGATAACAAGTATAACTTTACATGAGCCACAGGATAGAAAATCCAAAAGAAAATTGTAAACAAAATTTTTCCGACGTCAAAGATGAATTATAAGTAGTTTATACATCCCGTTTAGCACTAATGAAAGTCTAAAAGTCTCTCAAATGTCGCGTTGTCTGCTGCGTTCATCACATGTGCCGGTTGTGCATTCCAGTGGGAACAGATTCTAAGAGTGAAAATACTTCCTACAATCAAAGGAGTGTTGCGTTATTAGTTTCATTTGGTGGCCTCAGCATTGTTCGTGGGGGGGGGGGAGGGTCAGTAATGATGAACAGGGTTGCTCGCACTCAGTATCCAGTATGTGCGGAGGAAATCTCCGCCAAGCCGCCGGTATTCTGAGGAGAACACACCGAGCAGACGAAGACGCAGTTCGTAACTGCGACCGGATAGTCCACGCGTTGTATTTGTGGCTCTTCTTTGGGGTTTCTGCAATAAGCGAATGTCTCGTTTTAACCATGCACACCGGGCCTGAATTGCATATTCAACGTGAGGACGAATAGACGAGTCAATTAGCAATGATACTAGCCGCGGCTCAAAGGTGCCGAGAGCTCGCCTCAAAAGTCTCAAGTTGAGCATCGGCACACTTTCTGATTTCAAACATTGGAGCAAATTGCCAAAGATATTCTTGTACGTTGACACCTAGGTCCCATTCATTAGTCAGCGGTTGCAGATTGTGACCTCCCAGAAGATATGTGTTGATGAAGGTGCTACGCACCGTCAGCAGGTGATATTTTGCAGGCTTCTTTGGAAGCTAGTTCATTTCTGCCCATTTGTTAATCCGGTCCAGATCGTTCTGGAGATAGACACGGTCGGATGCTGAGCGAATTGCTCTCCATATTTTAATATCAGTTGCAAATATTTACATCGAAGTTAACTATTTGCTGGGAGGTCATCGATGTAGACTAAAAACAGTCGCGGGTCGAGGACGGACCGTTGCGGTCCACCGATGGAGACGCACAGACATTCGGAGTGAGTGCTGGCTATCCTTACCTTGATTGTTTTGTTGTGTGGACTTATATGGATCCGTTCGCCGTTGGAAAAGTTACGTGAAACCTATGTAAACATTGCTCAGGAATGGGGAGATGTTAGAGGAGAAATAATAATGCCGGTATGTGTGCGTTAACATTTATGGCTTCCAAATTTCATTATGCTAGGTTTATTCCTTGGCCTTCGCTTTAACGTGTCAATTTGTTAACGTTTAGAGTAGATGATCTCGCCTTCGGATACCAGTCATACTTGGACACTAATGCTATCACTTTAATTTCTATGTCTGTATCGGATTGGTTCCTTCTTACAGCTGATCCTCATTAGCTTTGTTTGTTCGCAAGTTTTCAGCACTATAGATAGCTTTTACCTTTATGCATCGTACCATATAATGATGCCGTTTCCGTATGGAAACAATCCTAAAGCTAGTTCCTGCTCGTTCGGGGTAGCACTACTGTTAGTGGGTAGAAGCGGCGGCGGGGCCCGAAAAAAAACAAGCCTCACTAATTCAGATGGAGTACGGTGTTACACTTTTGTTTGGCTTTTATCATTTAGATGTCTGATTGTCTTTCAAAGGTTGCGAGGTTTGGTGCTGGTATTGCATACTAGAGTGAGCAGATTCCAAGAGACTAAAATAACTTCCTACTGTTCAAGAGGGAGTGTTAAGATACTAGTTTCAGGTAGTGGCCTCGGCATCGGTGGTGAGAAGCTAGTGAGAAATGATTTAAATTGAGGAGCATTCTCTGTCAGCATTCAGTATTAGCGAATAACATCCCCGCGAATGTACCGGTATTCTGAGAAGAGACTGCTGATTGAAGGAATGCGTGGATCGTAATTTTGATCATGTAATTGCGTTGACTTGATAGCTCTTCTTTATGTCTGTTCCAGCAAGCGAAAGTGTCGTCTTATTCCACAGCACGTGGCCAAGATTCAAATCCCACGTAAGACGATGCGTTACCTTCAGCCTGTTGCCGGAAGAACCCCTCGGGACAGTGTTGAAAAATTGCGAGAAATGCTTTTCAGCAACGAATAGTACTGAATAAGGATTGCATCCCATATGTCCACTGAAAACGACGTTCATTTTGTTGATTCGTGCTTGAATTTGTCTTGGTCTCACACTTCTGACAAAATGACCACATATAGTTACCGGGCAAATTGGACACTTTCAGAAAATGAGAATCTGAGTTGCCCAGCAATTTGAAGGTGTCACTTGCTGAAGTCGATAAAGAGGGAGATTTTGATTCCCCAACACCTTTTATTGTGCAGTCTTAACAAATTTATGAATAAGTTGCAGTTGAGTAGCGCTACGAAATCCACGGCTGTTGCAGCAACAGACACAGTGTAAGCGTATAGATTCCGAGCTCCTCAGTTACGAAAGATGATATATGTGCCTAAATGTGGTGGCGCACTGGGTTTATATCTGCGTTGTCAAGAGGAAAATGATTGACAGTGGACTAAATTCCGCGTAGAAAAGCCCGACAAAGCTATCACATTGGAATGATTGCATCCAACTTCGGAATAACTTGGTATCGCTGATCCAAAAAATCCCCACACGCGATGGCAGCAATCAACAAAGGAATCTGAACATACTTTAGCGTTCCCCGTCTCGTAGGCACAACAGTTGGCCATTCTAAAGGTTTTGCCTCAACCACACACCACA